GAGAGAGAGAGAGAGAGAGAGAGAGAGAGAGAGAGAGAGAGAGAGAGAGAGAGAGAGAGAGAGAGAGAGAGAGGAGGGAGCCCAGAGAGAGAGAGAGAGAGCCCAGAGAGAGAGAGAGAGTGTCCAGAGAGAGAAAAAGAAGGGGAGGGAGGGAGGGAGGGTTAGGATGGAGAGATTCAGGAAAAAAAAGAGACTTCTGGGGGAAACTACCACATGCAGGAACAAAAACACAACACCCCACCATTCCATGGAGACATAAAGCTTCGCTTGTATAATGCACCCTGATAATGAATGCATGCAAGCTATCTTTCTGGCCAAGTACACCCATAATGAGGGTGCATTGTTGTGTTCAGGCGAAGAGGGTAGTGGGACCCCCCTCACACCTGATGCTTTAAAAAAAGTTTAACATAGAACGAGTAAAACAATGATTTCTGAATTACCTGGGGCCGGTCAATTCAGTGTCGATACCTCCAGGCTGTCGCCCTTATTAAAAAAAAAATAAAAAAAATAGAGGCTGCCACATGCTGCCCAGCCTCTACTATGTGGCTGACTGCTACAGACACGTTACAGTTATCAAACGCCTCACAGGGGTTCGAATCCTCCTCAAAAGTTCGAACCCTGATGGAATCCAACCCCTTTCAATGAAAATGGTCTCACCCTTTTCTGGAGGGGGGTCACCCCCTTTCAAAAAAAGGGAAAAACGGAAACCCTGCCTCCACTTGGCAAATGCTTACGCGGGCTCGTCAGCAGAAATCCTCGGTCCAAGAAATCACGGCAAAGTTGAGGAAACAATTCTTTCGCAAACTGATTAAGCATATCGCTAGCGTTCATTATGAGCCAGGATCAAACTCTGTTTTTTTTTATAATTATGGCTTATTTATAATAAATTAATAATATAATAGAATCTCACAAAGGTTCCATTGTACACCGACTCATCAATCAGTGTTTTGGTTCTGCTGATATCCCCCCCTCCCCCCCTCTTTTTTTTTGATTTGGACCATTTCCATTTCTCAATTTATGTCTTTCATCCTTGTGCAGGGGCCCTGCTCATGTTAATTTTCTATATCTCGTTCACCGACTCATTAGTGCTTCTATTCCGTTGATTTTCATTTTTTATTTTTTTATTTGGACCATTTCTTAATTTATGTGTGTCATCCTCTTGCAGAGGCCATGCTAATCTTCTCGGTATCGTTCCAATTTTAAACCGCAAGTTAACAAGGCCCCAGCCTTGCACTCCGAAACTTGTCGCCACAAGAAAACGAGGCCGAAACGTCAAACGCTGGGCCCGCCGTTGATAAATTCAATTGGCGGTCGCGTTTTCGTTTCGTGCCTCCAGAATTTGAGGTGTCAGGCCCCCGGCCCAGGTGCCCATGTACTGGTGCTTTGACAGGATGTCACAAAGGACCGGTTCCGTTGGTTTCTGGTTGGGCCCGAAGGGGAAACTACCACTTGACATGGAGTTCAGCCGAAGCCCGAGGCGACTTTTGACTCTTCGGAAAGAAGCAAGTATGCTGAGCCTGCAAGTTCTGTACAACCCAGCCCAACAGTACAACCCCCTTTTCTGAGTCTGCTTCTGAATCTGACCCTGATTCGGGGCAAGTACGGAAGCCCACAGTTTCCTATCAGATTCCACAACTGTGACTCCAGTTAGGACTGTGGTTTAGCTTCTAATCTGCAGCCCTGGGCTTGGACCTGGTGCTAGGTCTGACTCTCTCCTTCCTCCTGTTTTTGTACCTTCAAATCACCAGGCTACCGCGAAATGCAAATGTAAAACCCAAACGCCGCATTCTTGGGAGGCCGGCCGCCACCGGACCAAAATGTCTGGTGGCGCCAGCCAAAATCCGAAAAAAAAAAAAAGGGTTGCACTGACGTTTCGGCAAAGCGAACTGGTTGATGAGGTCATGGGCGTCCGCCCTCCAAAGAGACGCAAATAAACCCAAAGCGAACAGGGACCCCCACTTTTCAGCCACAGGTTTTTTTCTTCTTTTTTTTTTTTTTTCAGTTGAGGCAACTCTTTTTTTTTTTTTTTACAAATGCTCCAGTCTATTCGTGGGGAGCAGCACATGCTGGAAACCGGGTCCAGCGTCCCATAAGGACATTTACAGCTTCAACAAGGATCTTTTTTGAGAAAAGTTGAGAGGACCTCCCCCTGCCAGCATTGATCACCCTGGAATCCAGGGGATTAACTGAGCAGGGAACGCCCTTTGATGGTAATGAAAATGAAAAGGACTATGGTATGTCAGCAAAACCAGGACGGGTCAAATTCAGAAAAACACCCCTGAAACAGACAAGCAGAGCAATCCTGCCTCCATCATCGAAAGGAAGAACCTCAAAGCTGATCCAGGCAGTGTTAGTGGCCGGTGGCCAGTACCCGCCGAGATACTCGGCGCCAATCGCATCCACCACCAACTTCCTCCATCCAAATCGCATCCGTCCTCGTAGGGAACTCCAAAGGACCTCGTCTCATCAGAGGCCGAGCACCATCATCACCTTGAAATTCCTTGGCCCCACGAGAATTTCAGTCTCCGTCGTCAAGGAGGTGAACCAGCACTACCCAACGCCAATCGCGCCAGAGTTCGCCCTCATCAGTCGGTACCCATCAGACAGCCTGAGCTACCCAATGCCAATCGCATCTGATAAGAGCTCCCCCTAGCCGGTACCCGTCGAGGAGCACTATTCCATTCCCCTCTCCGTCCTTGCAAAGAATCATTTCATGCCCCTTACCCCTTACTTCAAAACAAGTCCCCCCAAACTCCACGAGACGCTCCACTTGGCTATCCGGCGGAGCCCACAAACACAATCACCATCAGAAGCCAAACTTTCCCCCGAAAGGGATTAGGCTAACCAGGATAGGTCAAATTTAGAAAAACATGTAACCCCTCAAACAGACGAGCAGAAAAATCATGCCTCCATCATCGAGAGGAAGAACCTTAAGCTGATCCGGGTGGAGTTCGTGACCAGTGGCCGGTACCCGCCGAGATACTCGGCGCCAATCGCATCGACCAGCAACTTCCTCCATCCAAATCTCATCCGTCCTCCCAAACTCCGTCCTCGTAAAGAACTCCAGAGGACCTCATCTCAGCAGGGGCCGAGCACCATCATCACGCTGAAATTTCGTGCCCCCACAAGAATTCCAGTCTCCGTCCTCAAGGAGGTAAACCAGCACTACCCAACGCCAATCGCGCCAAAGCTCGCCCTCATCATCCGGTACCCATCAGACAGCCTAAACTACCCAAGGCCAATCGCATCTGATAAGGCCTCCCCCTAGCCGGTATCCGTCGAGCAGCCCTATTCCATCCCCCTCTACGTCCTTGCGAAGAATCATCTCATGCCCCTTGCCCCTTACTTCAAAACAAGTCCCCCAAAACTCCACAAGATGCTCCACTTGGCCATCCCACGGAGCCCATGTTCAAAACTCAATCACCATCACCGGCCAAACTATGACTAAAACCAAGATAATTCTATAATAATTCGAGAATACCATTGAAAAATTCCTTCAGCAATATTTCCCCAGAAGGGATTAGGGAATTAACATCGGAAGAGATCAGAAAATTCCAACTAGACGAGTAAACATTAGAACAAGTATTTAGACCTCAAAATTAAACTCTGACTTTCGATTCTCGGAACAGAAAGATCATCTGCAAAGTAAATTTCGATTTTACAAGTTTAAGATGATTTATCCGAATTTAGTATATTTACTACATTACAATCTGATTTTTAATTCTCAAAGTACTCGCAGATAGATCGAAAATAGACTCAACCAATTAGGCAACTAGACTCAACCAATTAGGCAACTAAACAAGGAAAAAAAAAATACCGTAAGGACCAAAACAACAATTCAAGAATCAAGATAAAAAAACGAAATGAGTTAAAGGATCCAGAATCTTATCGAGATATTGAACAGGGAGTCAAAGGACGAGATAGCACTAGCTTTAAGCTCATGAAAAACGTTGGAAACCCGTCCAAAACACGCTTTAAGGGTCATTGGGACTATACTAGGACTTTTAGTAGTCGAAACACAGCAATTCACCCCCAACACTGAGAAGCACTTTTTTTTTTTTTTTTTTTTTTTTTTTTTCTTACTTTTTTTTTTTTTAAAGTTTAAACTTTAAACCTTTTTTTTTTTTT